TTGGAGGTATGTGAATTGACAAGTGTACAGGCAAGACACACAAAATAAGTTGTGGTAGACTGAGGAATCTGCAACTGATGGTTGCTCCATCAGATTGAATTAGACATTGCAAGTATCTTCCGTCTTGTCACCCAAATGTCATCGACTAAAACAGATCCTGGCATCATCGCACCTCCGCCACATCACCAGGCAAAAGGATGCCAAGTGTCATGCTTTACGGCAGTTCCATGCAAGCATCCCGCGTGACATTTTCTAGTTAACAAGGAGTGCACGCTCACTGACGCTGTGCATTTTTCTCAACTATAACAATGTCAACTGTTCACTAGAGATGGTGCTGCATGTCACCACAGAGCGTCTCAATTTCACAGTTGCTGTCTGAACATCTCCTAACACTTTGCTAAATCACTAGAATTAGATTTGACCTCCGCATCGCCGGCTAGGTACAATGTGCATATGGGAATGGAAATATATAGTTCTGGTGATTGAAACCCATAATGGGACTTAATGGGATTTAATTATATGTATATATAGTTATAAAAAATAAGACATAATTATCGAAGGAAGTTTAGAAGTCAAGCTTCCGACAATATGGACGGATGAAAAGCAGAGAGAGGAAGAGTCAGAGAGAAGAGAAGAGTAGAAGAGAGAAGAGCAGAAGCGAGAAGATCAAAGGAGAGAGAGAGTCAGAAGAAAGAAGATGCAGGTGCGCGAAAAGGTAGGAGAGTCGCGAAAAAGTGTGTTTTTCCAAAATTTGTGGCTCCGGAGGGTCGAAAAGTAGGCTCGCTAAAGCGGCGGGTGCGGAGCCATCTGGCCAGATGAGAGGTGAAAAATTGCACGCCGTTGTGGCGCGAAGCACATTTCGAAGTCAAAATGTACGAAGCACACCATGCTTGGACCACTTTTGGAAGTTGCGATGTCGAAAAAGTGCATGCCGTTGTTGCGCGAAGCACATGTCCAAGTCAAAATGTACAAAGCACACCAGCTCGGGACCACTTTTGGAAGTTGAGATGTCGAAAAAGTGCACGCCGTTGTGGCGCGAAGCACATTTCGAAGTCAAAATGTACGAAGCACACCATGCTTGGACCACTTTTGGAAGTTGAGATGTCGAAAAAGTGCACGCCGTTGTGGCGCGATGTCGAAAAAGTGCACGCCGTTGTTGCGCGAAGCACATTTCGAAGTCAAAATGTTAAAAGCACCAAGGGTTCGGACATCCCTACCGTTTCGGCAGGGGGACCTCCCTAAAATGTAACTTACATTTTTGAAGGTAAAACCTTCGAAAATGTAACTTAGATTTCGTGAAAAACCCATACAATCAACACCATCAAAAATGTAAGTTACAGTTAGGGTAGGTCCTTCTGAAATTTGGAGGGCCTTGAAAAATGTAATATTACATTTTTGAGGTAAAACCTTCCTAAATGTAACTTACATTTTTGAAGGTGCCATTTCTGTGGAAGCCTCTATTCCTCAAAAAATGTAAGCTACTTCTTGGGACATCACAAAACATTGGGCCCCCAAGGGATAAAAGAAAGAAGCAAAGGTAACAGTTATAACAAGGTTGGTGCCAGGATTACTTAAAGAAAAGGTATGGGTTTTGGTTGTCTGTTCTTGTAGGTTGTACATTCTTTTGTGCATTCTTTCCAGCAATGCCTTTGGGCATTTTGGCCTTGGAAAATGTAAGTTGGTGATATTGCGGTCCACGTTGCACTGCAAATAATGCAGGTTTTGGAGACCTTACTATAGGGATCTTACATTTTTGGCCCCTAGGATTCCCTGAAAATTCTGGTATGATATGATATTATATGAGTTTTGGTTGTCTTTGTTTGTAGGTTGTACATTGTTTTGTGCATTCTTTCCAGCAATGCCTTTGGGCATTTTGGTCTTGGAAAGTGTAAGTTGGTGATATTGAGGTGCAAGTTCCACTGCAAATAATGAAGGTTTTGGAGACCTTACTATAGGGATCTTAAGTTTTTGGCCCTTAGGATTCCCTGGGAATTCTGGTATTATATGGGTTGTGGTTGTTATTTTTTGTAGGTTGTACATTGTTTTGTGCATTCTTTCCAGCAATGCCTTTGGTCATTTTGGTCTTGGAAAATGTAAGTTGGTGATATTGAGGTGCAAGTTCCACTGCAAATAATGCAGGTTTTGGAGACCTTACTATAGGGATCTTACATGTTTGGCCCCTAAGGATTCGCCGGGGATTCTGGTATTATATGGGTTGTGGTTGTCTTTTTTTGTAGGTTGCACATTCTTTTGCGCATTCTTTCCAGCAATGCCTTTGGTCATTTTGGTCTTGGAAAATGTAAGTTGGTGATATTGAGGTCCAGGTTCCACTGCAAATAATGAAGGTTTTGGAGACCTTACTATAGGGATCTTACATTTTTGGCCCCTAGTATTCCCTGGGAATTCTGGTATTATATTATATGAGTTTTGGCTGTCTTTTTTTGTACGTTGTACATTCTTTTGTGCATTCTTTCCAGCAATGCCTTTGGACCGGGCAAGCGGGATCGGGTAAAGGCAGAGGGTTAGACACTTTATGTATATATCCCCTTAATTTCAAAATTCTGCCTCGTTAATTCGGGGTGACGTCGTGACGTCGAATTAAATCGTACAGATATAGTGGTACCCCCAAAAAGGAAGGGGGGAAAAATGTAAGTTACATTTCCCCCCCCTCCATTTCCATAGTCACTACGTTTGTGGTGTATTCCTGGGGAATGCCTTGATTTTGCTTTGACCAGGACGATACCTAGGGGGGTCTTAACTTACATTTTTCACCCTTCCAAACGTGGATTTTTGGTACCTTAGAGATTTTAACTTTTAACTTAAAAGTAACCCTCCCAAAGACAGCCCGAAAAATTAAGTTACATATTGTAAGGTCCCCCCCGAAAACCTAGGTTAAGGTGGTGGAGATGTTCGGACCACTTTTGGACGTTCAGATGTCATTTCGCGTGGCAGGCGCAAGGGATTGTGGACCTTGTCAAAAGTGAGCAAAACGAGGGTTTTGTAGCATTTCCAAAAACGTTGGCAGGCGTGGGACATTTGAAGAGGATCTGGAAAGATGCATTTTCCGTGGCAGGCGCAGTACAAGAGACATGTTCATCAGAGCTGTTAGGAGGTCCGGGCGCTGATTTCCTGAGAGGGGTTGCATTTTGGAGCCTGAGATTTTCAGGTTTGCTGAGATGATTCTGCGTGACAGGTGCAGCACTTCGTATGACCTGGCATCACTTTTTCGTGGCAGACGCAGTACTTCAGACAAGTGGACTGGAAAAATCGCAAAACGCATTGGTACGAGGCCGTCAGCTCTGCACTCAACTTTCCATTTTTGAGGGACGTCTCGCAGAATTGTTTCGTTTTTGCTGTTGTCAACTTCGAAAAATGAAGACTCGCAGGATTAGTTCGTTTTTGACGTTATCAACTTCAAAAATTGAGGAAGTCTCGCAGAATTGCTTCGTTTTTGATGTTGTCAACTTTGAAAAATGAAGAAGTCTCGCAGAATTGCTTCGTTTTTGATGTTGTCAAGTTCAAAACCTGAGGACGTCTTGCAGAATAGCTTTGTTTTCCAAGCTTGCAGAAAGACAGGTAGATAGATAGACAGACAAACAGATAGATAGATAGAAAGATAGATAGCTAGATAGATAGATGGACAGCTAGATAGATAGACAGATAGATAGATGGATAGAAAAGAAAGATAGATAGATAGACAGCCAGATAGATAGACAGACAAACAAATAGATAGATAGATAGATAGATAGATAGACAGACAGACAGACAGACAGATAGGCAGAGAGACAGCTAGATAGATAGAAAGATAGATAGATAGATAGGTAGGTAGGTAGCTAGATAGATAGATAGATAGGTAGGTAGATAGATACTGTAATAGATAGATAGATAGATAGACAGACAAACAGATAGATAGATAGATAGATGGATAGATAGAGAGATAGATAGACAGATAGATAGATGGATAGAAAAAAGAAAGAAAGATAGATAGATAGACAGCTAGATAGATAGACAGACAAACAGATAGATAGATAGATAGATAGACAAATAGATAGATAGACAGACAGACAGACAGACAGATAGGCAGATAGACAGCTAGATAGATAGAAAGAAAGATAGATAGATAGATAGATAGGTAGGTAGCTAGATAGATAGATAGATAGATAGGTAGGTAGGTAGATAGATACTGTAATAGATAGATAGATAGATAGATAGATAGATCGATGGATGGATAGATAGATAGATAGATAGATAGATAGATAGATAGTCAGAGAAAGAGGGAAAGAAAGAGAGAAAGGGAGGAGACCTCAACCACCTGTCGGTCCATCAGTGGCTTCGCTCTGCCATCCATGATTCACAGCAACCAACCTCTCCTATAGGTTTCCTATTTTTGAAACTTCCGCCACCGCCTTGTGCGGTACTACTGGTCCATGTATTGCAACATTAAAACCATATTTCTCTCGAAGCAGTTCTTTTCTCGAAACAACGTGCACCTCTCCGCGGGACGTAAAATCCCTGGAGGCCGGATCAAGATCGAACAAAGATCCAATTAACGTGCCCGGAGATTCGCGAACTAAACCGGACTAAACCTCCCAAGGGGGCCGAGGATATGACCGTCTGACAGTGTCACCTGTTTCTTTGCACGTGTAAACTGACCAGGTGATCTGGAACAAAAACATCTCTTCACCACAATATGACAGATTGCTTTTTCTCTCCATCACTCCATGAGTCTGATTGCGTTCCACTATTCAATCTTAAATATCATGGTGGAGTGGTCATTATAAACTAAGGTATTATGATTTTAAAACCCATATGTGGCTAACCGCCTTAATGAGATATGTTTTGGGACAACTTAGATACCTATAATACCCTATAATTAACCATTCGTAGATAATTTGGGAATATCAACGCTGTAATATAGATTATTCTAATCTTACATACATATCATCTGATGGTAATCTACAATCATATTGGCTCACCTCGGCCTTGGGAGTCTGTGCGACTTAGCATGGCTCTGCGACGCTTCCCCCGCTGCAGCATTGGGGCCACCAGCGAAACGGGGACCGCTTGGGCTGAACCTCAGGGCTGGATACATTGGCCAAACAAAATGGCATTCATTGGCCACTGTTGTGGGATCACACCATCAGAACCATCCAATTTTCAGCATTTCAGATGTTTTGAATGCAAATCACAGAATTTGCCATGTGCCATGGGAACATGTAAAATCCGACTGCCACCAAGCATGGATCCTGCTGCAAACATTAACATCTGAAGAATCGGAAGGTGATTCTGAAGATATGAAATTTATTTATAATATAAACATTCAAATAGATATGGATGTTTCCTAAAATAGGGTTATCCCTAAATCATCCCAAATTGAACCGTTTTATGTTTTATTACTGAAACCTATGGTTTTGGGGATCCTCCATTTTAAGAACCCCCCCATATAGATCTAAATCAGGAAGTCTTCACCGAGTTGCGCCCACATTCATCTTGCTGAAATCCGTCACGAGCAGAGATGCTTGCGCCCTGGCTGAAACAGTTTGGTGGCACATCTTCCATAGACATTTTTTTAAAACAAATGTGGCAAGCCAATTTATAAAACATCACCAACATTAATTGGTTGGTGGTTTCAACCCCTCTGAAAAATATTAGTCAGTTGGGATGATTATTCCCATATGGGAGAATAAATTCATGTTCCAAAGCACCAACCAGTGAACCAACATTATTCATGGGGTCATTTTTCATCCCAATTTGGGCATATCCAAAACTCTCAAGGCGAAAAATCGTCCCAGCCTCAGGGACGTTGCATCAGAGCCACTGGTTCTGGATGTCTCAGTTCCGCGAGATCGTGAGAGAACGACTGTACCGAAATACTGGGAACATGGGATTCTACTGGTTAATGGGGATTAATGGGGATTATAGGTAAATTAGGCAATGTCCAATACCAAACCATCCAAAAATCGGGATACTTATAGAACGTTGTAGAGCCGATAAAGAGAATATTGGGGGCTTTATCATGGGATAGACACCGGATAAAACATGGAATCAATAATGGGATAAACGTGTTGAAAACTATACTAAACCATCAGAGACGAATTCAGGTACCTACATCATGTTTAAGGGGATAAACATGGATAAACCACACAAAATATGGCCTGATATGGCACAGTGATGCACACTACATACCACCATTTGGGTACCTGAATGGCCAATAAAATCCCTGGAGATTCACTGAGTAATAGATAATGATACATCTAAAGTATAAGGATTTATTCAACAGAGATCGAAGTGTAACGATCAAACTGCTGAAGGTTAGCGATGATTTTTTTGTGCCTGCGCGCCTTGAAACAATGAGCCACCGTGTGGATTCAAACACAGATGATTGGGGGCAGGGAGCGCAACTACATTGAGGACTCACTTCGAATTACGTAATCAATGAGAGAGAAACGGGATATATATATAAATATAAAATAGATTGAGATATGGTGACTTGGCTCACTTGTGCGTCAAGAATTCGTTGCTGTGCTGCTCTATGGCTGTCTACCTTTGACTCTTTTTTTTGGATTCGACCGGCAGGTAAGACCAAGGGGCCACGTGTTCCATGATGGACTGTCCTCACTGCAGCGCCAATCTTTCAGTGTATGGCCAAAAATATGGCCAAAAACGGAATCAAAAGCAAAATCATCTCTCACGAATCCGGCTAAACTTCGAAACAACTCCATGAAGCATCAGTACGCTATTGGCATCATACGGGCAATGTTGATAGTGCTTCCTGCAGACATCTCATTGCCATACATGAGTCACATGAGTTGGGTTTGTCTGACAATGGGACATATAATTACAAGATTACAGTACACCAGAATCCAATGGTTCATTTTTCCCATGAACATATGCATAAGATGGGGCCCATTTCCAGACAAACACAAACATACATAGTTGGTTAGTTTTTTTTTACATCCCCATTATGTTGATGAAATGTGCTACTGTACTTTTCTTCTCATTAAAATGGTTGCGACTTGCATCCTGTCAAATCGTACTACTAATATCTTGCTTTGGCTTTAGTCAAGTCAATTTAATGCAGTGTGCTTAGCTGCTTAGGTTTGCCAATATGCTGTGCTTGCCATCCTGCTCTCTGTGAGTTGGCATTTTGAAGGGAAAACGCTTTTTTGGGGCGCAAGGCTGTGGCAAAGTGGTTTCCTGTCGTTGCTCGGCGCCGTGGGTGTAGGAACTGAAATACGATATACATCCATATCACATACAAGGTGGTGCCCCCTAGATAGCTAAGTTGGTTTATAACTCCAATAACTTGCCAATAACTATGGTTTATAGGTGATATATCTATAGTTAATGGGGTTTATAAACCAATTTATAACTGGGGGGGCACCACCTTGTATATTTCCCTTATAGAATCCTGCGTTTAATAATTACTACAAATCACATCAAATCACCCTTCCTGTTGGTGAAACCCAGCACTGGAGCTGTTGAGTTTACGCGGCAAGGCGCGAAACTTGTCAAAGTCAATGCTCTCACCGTTGGTGAAGTGGTGATGGGCCTCTTGCGCCATGACATTGATGGCATTGTCACTCCAAACCTTTTGAGCATCGCAGCGCCGCAGCACGTCTTTAATCTCCTGAGGTCGCAGAACTAGGAAGAAAACTTCAGAAATTGATAGGCAACATGACAACATGCATGGTTTTGATTTCAAACATTTTGCAAACATAATACTTATTTACATCATGATACTATACGAACATTGCGTACGCATGTAGAGAGGGATTATTCAATTACACGACTTGTATGTGCATGTATGCGGGTGTAAGCAAAGATTTTGTACACTTGTGACTTTATCCTTTATACATTTTGTCCTATATCCGGCTATCAAAACTAGTGCATCGCAGTCTTACCGAGCAATGCTCAAGTCCATAAGTATCATAGGTTATCACGAGTCCTTTTATTCAAGTGGGTATATTCAGTACATCTCCCCAGTCATAGAGTTCGTATATAGAATGTCCCAGTCATTGAAACAGTCATACTACATGTAATTACATATGGACACACACACACACATATATATATGTATATATATATATGTATTTTCTTTAAATGTAGTCCCCCCAAGTCATGTTATAACGATTGTTGTTACAGTATCATGTGGGACCCGTGGGACTTCATCGGATCCAACGGAGCCCGTGAAGAGCGTCGTGTTCGGAGATGGTGCCGCTGCTGTCGTGGGAGAAGGCCTGTGAAAAGCATGACAAGTCTGGATGTTGCTAGGCAACCAGGAAACTGAAACGAATGTGTGTATATCTCTCCATATGTGTATATATATATATTTATTTATATCTATAAAGCAACAATAATATACGAACAAGATCATTAGTATGATATAATATGTGCAAACAAAAGTATGTGCAAACAAATGCGTACACCATGGTGACGGGATGTGACGGGGATGTTGTCGGACATGTAGTAATGTAGTGGAAACATGAGACATCATGAGACACTTTGACACAATCAAACCCGGGGTTTCCTCGAAAGCTGCCATAAGAGCACTCTCTTCTTGGAAGATGCGCTCTCCGACTGCCTTGGCGGAAGATATCTCTCTGAGTTAATGTCTGGGTTCCCCAGCGCCCCAGCGATTTTCCATGGTAGTTTTCATGCTTTGTTGCCGGGAGTCCAACGTAGATCCCAGTCTGGCAGAATATGAGTATTGCCACGAGCAAATGTTAAAAACCCATGCCACCAGTTTTCATGTCTGGAAAAGAGCTTTCAAATCCTACAGGGATCAAAAAGTGAACGAACAAACATAAAAATACATCACCACTTGCTGTGAGTGGGGTGGATGTGTTTGGGTGCACTTGCTTGTTGCCCTGACGTACCTTGGTCAGATCTGAGCGTTGGGTTTGTCCTTTCAGTTGGTCATCTCCTACAAGTAAAGTGAAAGTCATCCCCCACCGCCCCCGTCGCGTTTTCCCCATTGTCAACGCTGTTTTCAAGAAGTCATCCCTAAGTCATCCCTTTTCAAATCATATAAATGATTTATCATCTTCAAATTTCAGAAATCAATGTATGCGGGTTGTGGGCCGCCACTCTTTTAAACACCAAAAAACTAATTGTTGGAAAAATCTTCTCTTCATGGCCGTAATTCCATGGCCATGATCCAAGCCATCATCGTGTCAACAAACACAAAAACATGCTAAATTCCATCCGGGCATGGCCAATGGCAGCTTCAAATGGCCAGTGTTTGAGTACCCCGAGTCAACAAAATCAAGACATCAAACCCAATCTCCCAATATCAAAAACCCTCCAAGAGAGTGTCTTTATCTGATGAAGAGATTAATACACCTAGTGGAAGTCACCACACATGCTGACCCTAGGTGCAGCTGCCACAAACTCGGTGTAGTCGATGGTACCTCCACTGAGAGCTGTGGAATGGGTGCCATCCCTGCTATTCCAAAGGGCTTCTAGCCAAATTCTCATTGTACCGGCTGGTTCCCGCCAAGTAACAGAGGTCAATATACTCTACCCCATTTTCAGCCAACCTCATTTTAGATCCCAAAGTCATAGTTGGTTGATAATATAAAATATTATATCATATTATATTAAATGATATTATATCCCCATTATGGTTAATGAATGTTTATTATATGATGTCCCCATTATATCATAGCACACCCCCATTTGGGGATGCTTGAAATCCCAACCCGCGCGGCCCGCGCCTGATCCATCTTGGTCGATGATGGCGAAGAGCTCCTTCGCTAGTGGAGGTTACCAGCCCATTTATACAGATGTATGTATGTATCTATCTATCTATCTATCTATCTATGTATCTATGTATCTATGGATGTATGCATGTATGCATGTATAGATGTATGCATGCATGTATGCATGTGTGCCTGTATGCCCGTGTGCATGTATGCATGCATGTATGGATGCATGTATGTATGCATGCATGCATGTATTCATGTATGGATGCATGTAATTGTGCATGTGCATTTATATATATATATATATGCATCAAATTCTGGAACTAAACATAGTGATGAACATGATGATGAACCTCCATGAAGCTCTGCGATGTTGCTCCCGACGCCCGTTTCTGGATGATGGATCTGCCAAACATGGAAGATTTCCATCCCCATGTCAAATTAATTACTGGAGACGAGAGTGGTGGACTTTGATCATTTTGATCTGGAGTCGGCTGATTCTTGGGTGAGTCGAATCGGGCCTTGGAAACACCCCGAAAGCCAAATGGTGAGTATAATTAGGCAAATCTGCCCGCTTTTACTCATGTGAAATCCTTACTTTTCTATGATCTTGTGCTCCGAGTCCCCATTCTGGGTGCTTGTTGGTTGGAGTCCCATTTTGGAGGTATCCACTTGATCAGGTTCCAACCCCATCAGTGCCACTCGTGATAGCGGCTATCAACAATTAAAACTCTGACAGCTGTTGGTTCCTGCATATCCCCAGGTCGGCTGATGAATGTCAATGACATGATGATGTATAACGATATCTCAATTTCTCTTAACAAAACATCTATCCTTATCTGTTGCAATACGTTCATTTCTACCCCAATGTCTTGAAACCCACTGATATCAAAAAGAAATGGGATATAGCCTGCCGCCCATTGCTAAGTAGTTTTGGATATACTTCCTATAAAGTGATATATACCGCCAAAGTGGATATACCGCCCAGTTTTTGCGATTGATCCTCCTGAGATACCCCACGGCAAAAATATATGGCGGTAAGAGCAAAATACGTTAGGACAACAAACATATGTATATTATACAATACGGATTCATATGGAATATGTAATGCATATAGATATATTATAAATAAATACTATATATATATGTGCGATAGATATGTATATATATATCACAAATATATTAGATATACACAAATACGGTGATATGAACACACACACACATATATATATATATATACAATATTACCAATATTACATAATCTTTATATATCTTTATGATATATTATGCACGTATATCTTGCGATATCCCACTTTTTCTCACAAGCCACCTGAAGGTCATCCATCTCAGCTCCGCCCAGATCGGTGAAGCCGCGATGCACCTTTTTTTTGGGGACATTGCATTGAAACATGGGGAATTGATGCGAATTTCAACTAAGATTTCGCCAAATTAGTAAAGAACATCAGGAGTTTATAGATCAAATCTCTCTTGAACATTTCTGAACATGGGAGGATACCACCAAGGAAAATGAACTAACCATGAGCCTAAAACTCATGCGTGAAGTGTGATGCACCAATCAAGTAACAAAAAGATTACAAAAAGTGCGGGTGTCAAATCACACTGCGCGCAAAGGCGAGTTTAGCGCCTTCACTGATGTTTCCTCATCCGCCCACAAGTGCTGCAGACTGTGAACCCTGCTCTCACAACACACCGGCTCATGCTTCCACACAAAAACGGTAAAATTCGCCTGCCAAGAAACTTCTTGAATGGTCAAGACGCCGTCACCATCACTATCCTTGGGAGAGCGAAAGTGACAATGCGGATCTCGCCTATATCACCAGTTGAGAGCTACCTTAAGACCACCATCCACTGCAAGGCCTGGAAAAAAAAGAAAACAGAAAATCGATGAACATCGTACTATTGTCTTGGTCCCTCGTTCTTTTTTCCCGGCTGGAATCCAAACGGTCCAAACGCATGAGATCAGTTGGCCTTCCATATGGGTCTGAGAATAGTGGTGTATCATCCATGAGGTATCCCAAAACTGGGGTGGCTATGGTCCCATGGGCCTGTTGGTCAATGTTGGTCATATATCCCATGCCCCAGCCTGATATTTTTCTCTCAATTGGCCTTACACCTATGATATTTCCCAGCATTTTTCCAGCATTTTGCTCAGTGTCCAACTGGCAGAAGACCTGGTGCACTTCATCCAAGCTCTTAGCATCCAGCTGTCGTGCAGCTGCTAACACGCAGAAGCCGAAGAAATGGCTCAGTTGGCAGAACTTACCTCGCCACGCGCTGGCTCAATGGATGGCTATACCACTGTCTCTCAACTGGTGGCATATCACAATTTGCAACATGTACATACTGCATATGTAGCGCAATTGAATCTGGTTCTTGGTTTCAACTTGCCTCGTACTTGAACACCTCTGAAACATGTTAGTGGTGAATAGGATCATCATCTTACCAATAGTTGAGATATTTGAAAGCACCTGCCACTTGTGAGATCTGAGAGCTGGGAAATCTTAAGGCATTGAATGAGTAAGACGTCCTTCATTGTTGCATTTCCACAGCGCCATTCCTTTTAAAGAGAACTGTTGATCATCGCATGTCATCGCAGGGGTCAAGTCTCCGAGTTTAAAGTTAACTTGGTGATATGCTACTAAGATGATCCAAAATACCGCTGAGTGCATTGCCCCAAAATAGAATAGAATTTGGCATGAATTTGGTGAACTCCTACTAATTTGGTGAAACCTCATTTGCCATGGGAGAATTTTGCCCAAATTTGAGCTCTTCACAGCGAACTTGCCACCAGGCTGCGCATGTTTTGGAGGACATTCTGACTCACCTTGCGCTGGCAATTTCAGACCCCAAAGATGGAAAAGCTATGAAAAATCCTTGAGAAAACTTGACTCCCCCAGATCTCCTAGGCAATTTTCAGAGCACCTGGCATCACCTGGGCCCTATAGCTCCCTGCTCCTTGGCGGAGCTGCCCTGAAACAATTCAATTTCAGCCCAGCAGCACAAGCAGGGATTGGATTCGAATGCTGCATTTCAAACCAGGGATGCGAAAGCACCTGCCCCGGTAGGATCAGATCCAGACAGGGTCAATGTCGCAACACTTCATCACCGACTAGATCTGGATTGAATGACAACGTGTTGGCCTTCCAGCTCTGGAAAACAGGCAATTTCCTGTTCTTGATACCAGTAGTTTTGGTATGTTTGGTTGCATCAGCAATTATCAACATATAACATTGCCATCATTTTTGTTGTTTCTGTGCTGTATCCACACCAAGTAGTTCTTGGTGTACCACTGTTGAACAGCCGTGTCCCTGATGTTCTGTTATTTTCGCCGACACCGAGAGCCCCGAATGGCCCCGAACCTGTTGAAACTTCAAACGTTTCTGTGGTTTGGCTTTCAACAAACCTGAGGCCCGTGGTTGACAGGAACCGATTGTCACATAATGGCTGTCTGCAATCCAAAAGTATCAAAAGCATGTTTGGGGTTTTATCAACCAAAAGTAAGAATCAAATTTATTGGGATTTTACTATTTGTATCTTTTTTTGGGGGTTGCTATGAGACATTCCCTTTCTACTAGTACACTGATAGTGTGGCATGTGCCACTGCTACTTTTCCATGATGCCTACCTCAAGCATAATGATAGTACAGGATAGTAACCATCCAAGGCAAGTTGGGCAAACAAATCCCTGCAGTTGAAGGAAGAAACACGACAAATCAAAATCAACCGCCGTTGGAGAAACCAAATATATCCAAAGGTATCCAGGGGACATCTGATAAAGTCTTTGGACTCTGATGACAAAGCTTTCCAAATGTTGTCCTCCGGTATTAACTTCTCCTGCCAGCGGCAAGGCGGCCAGCGGCTCATACTTTGGCTCATTGGGGCAGTCGGCTGGTTGCTTCAACCATGATCTTCTCACCCAACTTCCGTGAAAGTGGTTGGCTGATGTTGGCTGACGATGCAGAACCTCTCATACATCTTAACTATGTAGAATGAACATCATAATGCCCGAGAAGTGGCTTTAGGGGAACCCGAAGCCCTAAACTGTTTCACTCCCATATTTCATGGGAACAACCATGGTTTCAAGCCTCCTTTGCAAGCTTCAAGAGCTTGGAGGCTTCGCCACGGAAGGGTGGATGTCCACATAGGAGGACATAGGTCATGATACCCAGGCTCCACCTGAAAGCTCGAGGGCCCAGAAAAGGACCCCTTTTTTGCAGCGTTGAACTGATTCAGCTGGGGTTTGGGAACTCTTTAGTAACATCACTAGAACATGCGGTCTTCACAGCAGGGCTACCTTAGACGATCCGATGGCCTCCTCTGACCACCCTACCCTTTCCTTTGAAAACCTCTGGTATTCTTGTGTTTTCTTCTGTTTTCTTTTTTCCCCTATCAGGGCAAGTGTGTTTTCTGTAACAGGTGTTCCATATTGCCACCAAGGTATGGGCCAAAAGCTAGCAGTGTCAACCTTTCCAACGCATGGATTGCACCAAATATGGTTTTAACTGTGGGGGGACACCAAAAGAAACAACAAGAAACACAAGGGAACTAGCCAAAAACAGTTCTTCTTAGATTGTCTCATTCTTCCTTTGGTATCCTTTGATTTCCTTCGGTTTCCTTTGATTTGGGGCTGGGTGGACTCTATGGTTTTACTTTGGTTTGGGGCTGGGTGGATTCTATGGTTTTCCTTTGGTTTCCTTTTGTTTTCTTTTTCCCTAGTTTTTCTTTGGTTTCCTTTGGTATCCTTTGGTTTTCTTTGGTTTCCAAGGGAAAAAGGAAAATAAAATCCAAGGAAAAAACAAACCAATCAAGGAAAGTCTAAGGAGGCTGTAAGCCCGTAGAATGCATCAATCATGCCTGTTACTAAGGAGGCTGCTAGATTTAATGTCTCAAAACTAAGATGGAGCTACATGAAAGTACTGAAAAATGGACTTTGAACATAAAACAAACCTCTTAAACATTGGTGTGTTTTGTTTGCATCATTGCTCAATTTTCCGGAACAGTCGAGGATAGCACCCGATACCACAACTGGCTGGTACGTGGACTATCATCCCGACATTTTTGATGGAAATACGTATCCAAATAATTAACACCAACCAGCAATAGATCCCAGGCGCAAATCGCATGCTGCAGTGTAACCCTTCGAAAATCTGGACCTTGTCAGCAAAGCACATCTGTCCAAACAGTGGGTGGAGAACCACCAACACAAGGTAACAGGGCTGCTGTTCCATCAGCAAGCACCAACATCTGTTCATGACTTTTTGTTCTTCAAGAATCTGCATCCTTTTTTGCGCATTGCTATCAAACATAGCAACACAGCCTTCAGAACCGATGTAGGTCAAGCTCATTGGTCTTTAAAAACCATCGGGGTCCACACTTAAAAATACATCCCGTCCCCGAATATCAACCATTTGGGTGCCATCATAGATCAACATAAGTAGTGGTACACCATGTGCCCAATTTTGAACGGCCACAAAAATGGATGGGGATGGTGATTTGTCATGTTTTTTTTTTTTAAATCTCAGGTGAATGCTATGAAGAAGTTGAAGAAATGTCCAGCTCTGCCGTTCCAAGCTGCAGTTTTTTGGTCAAAATCTCAGGCGCACAATAGGCATAGGAGCCCACTGCTGACCTGAGCAACCGCCACAGAGGAGCCGGGTCACCATTTTCCACGTACGGAGTCATAAAGGACTCACAAAAATACTACACTATGCTATAGATGTAGGATGATGTGACATGATGTAACACGATGTAACATGATGTACTGTAACTGCCAAGGCGCTTCATGTTGGTATGGTTGAAGTAAGAGCCGAGACCCCAATCGACCACCTGCATTTTTGATGATTCTTGGAGCTTGTGGTGATTTCTGGTGCGTTTGTAGTGGTGAGTCTCATGTATCAGTCGTGCAACAATGATCAAAGGGATCTACCTTCCAAACTTGGGTTGAAGCAGTGTCGAAATGGCAAAACATGCCCAACCAAAAGGACACCGTTCAAAGGGAGCCAGTCCCACAACTCACCTTAAACCGAACCAGACCAAATGAATAAGATCATCTAAGATCACAAATTGATGACAAACGCTGGTTGCATGTATCATCACATCCCAAAAATATGAGCAAATGCGCTTGATCCTTTTATATAGGTGGGTGGGAACGGAAACGTGCACCCCTGAACCCCCCATATGAACCCCTAAAAATCACATGTTTACGGCATTTCCATGTTACAAGTAGTTTTGGAGAGGCCAGGGTCCCAGGGTTCCGTCAGGGTTCCATTCACATCCAGAAAAACCCCATTAACATCGCCTTGTGGGGGTCCTTTAACCGGTTTAACCACTGCCATCCACTGCCCCAAAAGGTGATGACCCCTGGATAGCCCTGGCCTTAACAAAGGTATCGCCTTCCTCTTCGGACACCTGAAATCACAGGGCTGGCCTGGATGTGCCACCAACCAGCATCACGTCGGACAAATTTCAACAAGTTTCACAACATTTAAAAATCAATCAGAATCGGAAAGTTGGAAAGGGTAAGTTGGTGAAATTTGATAGGTTCTCCATGTTCTCCATGGTTCTCCTGACGGACCTTGATCCGCAACTCAGGGTTTAAAAATCACAGCGCACCATGCATGTTCAAGCTGGGGTCGAAGTTTGAAAATGCAAAGTCATCGCCTTTGGTAGAATCCACATCCCTCAAAACACAGAGACCAAATGCTAAGCAAAGAGATGGAGACAAATACCAGATTGTCCGGCTTGATATCCTCAGAACGTCGGATGGAAGAAGGGAAACGGGGGAAGGACATGCATTTGCAGCCAGAATATTGTGGCCTGTTGTACTCTGTTGTACTCGAAAACTAGGAGCACTGAGCCATTTATTCACGATAGAACACAGTGGGTTTCGTCCTTTGGCGTCCTTTGGCAACATTTATTCACAACATTTCACAACGGTGACCTCAGCTGAGGTTCACACATCCAAATTTCATCCTACTATTTCTATCTATTTCTATATCTATAGTTCTCCCTGCCAAGGGGCTCGATGAGCAATACCACGCTTGTGGGCGTGGTGTAGGGCCAAGGCAGTTTGATTGATGATGTTTGAAGCCTCACGCTCGCCTGCAGCTTATGCATGCTTATGCGGTAAGCACATTTGGCGCACATCGCCATGCAGTTGAGATTTTCAATTCACCATGCCCCATGCAGTTGAGATTTTAAAATCACCATGCAGTTGAGATCTTAGAATCACCATGCAGTTGAGATTTTAAAATCACCATTCAGTTGAGATTTAAAAATTGAAGACCCCTCGACAAATGGACACATAAAAAAGGAACATCATCTTCCAACAGCATTTCATGCCACTTTTCATACCCCGGAGATTTCGATCCTCCGCTTGTAGATAGAGTCAGATGGAAACACGAAATGGACATGACTTCTTTTCTGGCCAACACACCCAATACTAGTCAGTAAACCCCAATTGGATATGGTTTATAACGGCCCCCCACTCAATTGAGGTATGGTTTACCACTGGGTTTGCAGGTGCTTACAAATAGTCGAAACCAAATTATGGCTTCGCATCATCTTCTTCCGCTGAACTAGCCAGCCTGTGTCAGCAAGTTGAGCTATTACTGGTTGGCGGTTTCAACCCCTCTGAAAATATGAAAGTCAGTTGGGATGATTATTCCCAATATATGGAAAAATAAAACATGTTCCAAACCACCAACCAGATTACATATTCTGAACATGTTTGAAATCACCCACATGTGCTCCCGCATTCTTTGCAATTGCAATCTCGAGAAGACTGGGGCCAAATATGGCCAAAACAGTTTCCACAACCAGCTTTCGGACCGAATGGCCGAACTTTTGATCATCCATGGCCATCATGCGCTCCAGCACATCCTGTGTCTGAATGTGATTGGCGGATGATCTCGCCGTCAGCATCACCAAAGAACAAGAAGGGCCAAGCACATCACCGCAGCTTGGAAATGGATGGTCATCACTGATCACCCACATGGTATGGTAGTTCGTTAGTGTTCAACAATGGTGATACAAACTGCTCGGCATCTTGGGTGACATGTGATGACCTGCATTTGCACGATAGACAGGGAGATCCACGCAACTGCTCCAGAATTGGTGAGCCTCCGATATCAACACACTTCAGCATCCCTACACCAGAACGGCTCAACCACTGGAGGTCCTTTCCCTTCAAATACTCCATGACGAAGAACATGAATCCTGAAGTGGCAATGCATCAGGCCAAGGCCAGTCAAAGAACAGGTTGAGCCGTACCGCCTTCCCAATTCTACCATCTAGTACCGTCTATATCTACATCCATCTATGGAGTATTGAAACCCTTGCAAATGCGGTTTCTCGAGGTTTATTCTTGGGCTTCATTATCACATAAACTCACCTGCTCTGCCTTGTGGGGAGCATTTTCCTCAGTTGCCAAGCATCTTCCTTTCTCGTAGGTCTCCATCAATTTGCAAATGTTGGGATGGTCCAAATCCTGGAGTGTCTCTGATGTTCACTGAGTTCACGGCTTTTCGTCATGACCATTTCATGGCAACAGGTTTTTCATGGTTTTTCTTTCCCTGTGTGTGACCTGAAAAAATCAATCTGAATCTGTAATCAACCTCGTTGCGGGGCCTTCATGATTTCAGCCTCGGTATCTAAGCGCTTCTTCTGATCAGGCTCAAAGATCAAGACCTTCTTGATCGCCACCTCTGATGTCACATCATTGGTGAAAAGGGGAGAACGTACCCCCTGGAACACCATGCAACACTGGCCGTTCAAAAGGGCTAAAAGCATTAATTAATACTGAATACAATTATATCAATTATATAGAATCTACAATAAATATGCAAGTGGTTTGGCGAGTGGCTACTTTCCATTTTTGGATTGCTGAAAGAGACAATTGACAAACATAACTTCAGTTGATCAAAGCTAGCTGGTTCTAAATGATCTAATTGATGTGAAACGTCCGACGTCTTGAATTTTCGAAAGGTTCAACTTTTCGACATCATTTGCAAAAATGGATCTGGATAATTCAGAATAGGTGAGTTCCAAGCCTTATTTTGAGGCCATCATTTATAGGGTTTAGCTGCTAGCCAGTTTAGTCTAGGTCTAGGTTTAGAGTTGTACGAGTAAGTCTTGTGATGTGTCAATGCTCGGTGTCGCCATGTGCACTCGGCCTGCATTCCGGTTTGCTTCTGCCTCGCCTCGGCAACATTCCGGTGGCTTTCACAACCAGGTTCTGGTCACAGCTTGGAGCTTTGATTACGATGTTGAATATTGTTGAACCATCGAAATCATGCCACAAATATAACATGCCTTAGGATATTTTGCAGAACACCAAGAAATGCGCCTAGGATGCTGAGTCCAGCTTTGTATGCCAGCCTCCCCTGCGCTCTGAGATTCTCAAACCCTGAATCCTCACTGGCACCGCTGAGTCACTGTGAAGACGTGACCATATGCGCCAGCGCCCACACGATGATCTTCCATATCATAATGTTCCTGTTCAGGTGGCTCATGTGCCGTCCCAAAAAGCCGTGAAGATCAGACACAGGAAATATAGGAACCAGAAACCGGTCATTTAGTTCATCATATACCCATTTGATGACTGCAGCTGAGGCTCGGAAATGTCGTCTGATCGGACAGCTATCAGCCCCTTCTGGCCTTGGTTGTGAAGCGCTGGTGATTTTTGCCGGATGTTGTCAGGTGCAAAAAAGAAGCCCCCGCCAGGCACACGGAAATTTTACATGAAATTTCCAAGTCTAGCCATTCGATTTCCTGCAGGATTTCTGATCTGAAACTCTCCAAGTGACTGTACTTGTGTGAGCGTCTCATGGTTATGAAACGCTCCATGATGTTTGGAGATATATCACCTGGGCTGGAACCACATTCAGCATGCGCCAGCATGCGGTCTTGCAGCTGTTGCAATTGACATAACATGTGTATTTTGATGGATGACGCCAACCACGAGGGAAAACCATCCATTGCATCTTCTGAATTGGATTCACGAGTAAATGCCGCATGCAAAGGTCACCTCAGTGTGTAGACTGGTCCCTTGATGTCCATGGACAATGGAATGATTTGGTACTGTTTGGTGCAATATTGATACAGAAACCATTGCTTGTTCAATGGAGGGGTACGACCAGCCGATGAGAACAAACACCCGGACCGAGAATATGGGAGATTTGAAACATGTTGAAACCAGCAACAATTAACCTCTGATCCAAGCATCCATCGGATGCGACGCTTGTGCTCATCTTTGTGGCGGATTTCCTCATCTCCTTGGTCCACGCCCCAATTTCACCTGGAAAACTCATCATCACCTGGCCATAATGTTGGATCCTGATTAGTGGCTAGGTTCACTATTGTGGCAAGAATTTTCCAAATTATTCTGAATCCCTGCATTGTTTGGAAGGTTCACTATTGTGGCAAGAAATCTTAGGTTATTTTTTGTCTAAAAAATGTCTGTGTAAAAAACTCCGTCAGACCGCTTATTAAACCCTTATTAAAGAACAGTTGTCCCACAAATTTCCAAGGCACTGGGCCATGAGAGGGTCCAATTCACTTTAGTAGGTTTGTTCTCAGGGTTCACAATTGCAGCAAACTTTTCCAGAGCTGATCCTGGAGCCAAGAGAAGAAAGAAATGCCTTTTACAAAAGCAACCTGTTCTTCCTCTTTCTATTTCCCTTTCTCTTTTCCTTTCTCTTTCTCTTATCCTTTCTCTTTCTCTTCCCCTTCCTCTTTCTCTTCCTCTCTCTCTCGCTTTCTCTCGTTCCCTTTGTTTTCCCTCTTTCTCGTATTGCATGGTTCATTAAGAAAAAAACTTAAGGTGGAAAAGGTAACGCAATCAACATGCTGAACCCCAGTCACTACAAGTACCACAAGTACTACAAGTACTAAAAGTTCATCGGCAAAAAGAAAGTTTTAATTATATAGATTTCAATTGTAGCCAATTAAAATCCTTACTTAAGTGCGGATTTTTTTCCCTGGGAAGAAATTGTTTGGCGCCCAAGCTTAAAGAGGGTATAGCTATTGTTGGGGGAGGGGGTTGCACACTAATCAGGACGCAACATTACCCCGCCCCACCACAAGCCACAGCATCTCAACGCTGCTCAACCATCTCTGGGTTTAGCCTGATCTGTCTTATGCACCAGTACCAACCCACCCCCTCAACCGAACTCACCGAGTTTCAGTCGTCTTTTCTTTTGAAAAACGCTTTGGAGATTCCAGTAATGTGGTGGCACAGGGGCACTCCTGGCCCTCCGGGCACGCAGCGGCCCCTGCAGCCATCTTTACAACGCGTGCCGAGGGGGAGGCGCTTCAAAATCTGTGGTGAAGCCATTCGCTGCGGAGAACAATGGGACAGAATGAGTTGGATGGTTGATTCTGATGTAGGCATCTATGCATACCTATGCATCCAAGTGTTCGGAACATGTACAATGTGTTGTTCTCTATCGAAAGGGCGCCACCTCAGCTATAGATGCTATAGTATGAACAATTTCTTTTAGTCAACGGATTCTTTGACCGGAACATGTTCTTCTAAGGAGTCTAAATTATGTTGGATATTGATTGTCTCTTCTTAAAGTAGCGCATCTTCTTGCGTCGTGCTCGAAGATATCCTGGAAACACATATTACAGATTATCACAGTATATAAACGTGGAGGAACACGAGGGAGCCAACATAAGTCGCCAAGTACAAGGCCACCCAGCTTTTAATTGTCATAAACAATGCCTGAAATCACCATAAATATCCATGGGATTCCAACCATCCCCAAATAGTACCCTATCAAAAATACAATTTTTAATGGGTAAATCCACTATAAATGGTAATTTTCAATAGCTATGTTAGTTTACCAGAGGGTAATCATCCCATCACAGCGCATTTTCGCCGCAGGCGAAAAACGCGCAATGGGGAGCTTCAGGGTCTTTCGGCTGGCGCAGCAAGGAGAAGGATTCTGGTTGGGGCTTGGAGACTAAAACCACTGGTTGTGATTTCACATCAACTCGATCTTTTCCAATGGTATATATTAAAAAAATATAGTATAGAAAATAACATATTATAGTAATATATATATATATATTATATACATAAATAAATAGGTCAATCAATCCATCAATATATATATATATACATGTGAGGATGCTATATCCCTAATGTACATACACATCATGTGCATAAATATCAAAATAAGTAATTATTAACTATTATGATTGATCATTTATACATACCCGCTCTCTATCTTGAGCCAATGACTTTTGCCAGCCTCAACTAAGTAACACCGAGTGATGGTCCAGCTATATCAGTTATGCAGTTCGCTGCACCTGCCAAAATCTATGTATCGCCTAAAGCTTCACTGGCTGTCGGGTCACTGCTGGAACCGAAGCAAATAAGAAACTTCAACATGCACCAGCTGCCAGAGTGCTCCACCAGCCAGAGGCTCAACTGATGGGGGCACGGAGGCATGAATACGAGAATGGAGTGCTGCCAAAGAGTCCCGTGACTCTGACGCTTGAGTATCTTGAGTTGCATGGCAAGTCTCGGAGGTCATTCAAATGGATACTTTTGCATTGATCTCTTCAGAACCATCTCTGCATATTATGCCCTCGTCCAGCAGCAGCTTTTAAGCCCAAACATATCAAAAATTAAAGAACATGCTAGGGTTTAGAGGAACAGGAGATGCAACTTTCTGCCGGTGTCGGATATGATTAGAATACAAACCAAGGACACGATCTGCTCAATCCATTGCTGGGTGAGATTGAGGTGATGGTGACCGTGGGTGTGGTCATGTCATCAACCTGCTGGCACCAGACTCCATAACATTCGCTGAGCTGATCCTATTGAACAGCCACAGCACAAGATTTGGGCAGAAACACCCACTGCCATTGAGCAAGGGAAGCGAGTTGACTCACCATCCAGTGTCAACCCTTCACACTTTCAGATGTATGGAATCGATGGGAGATTCTTGAAGGACTTCCCACACACTTGGACGCTTTCCTCTGTCTCATGGACTGCCGTACCATCACTGCCGGGGCAGCAAAAGTTCATTCACCTCAGATTTTCCACATTTTCCAAAGACCCTGTTAAAAAAAACTGATCAATTCTATAGTGACACCATGCCTGCCAAACAATCAAAAGCTTCAAACCGGACAGTGTCCTATTTTTGGAGACCTCAGCTGGTGGAGTTCACACAGAGGGAACAAAGAAGGCTAGTGACTCCAGGTCACTGCATGCCATTCAATTGATTGGGCCATCAGAAACTTGCACGAATTCACACCATTGGTCCTTGCGACCTGCTTTTGATGGTTTTTTTCCAAACATGACAATGAAATTCCACCGGATCTGTCGAAAGGAAACCACGAATGGAACAGGAATTTTCATCTTCCGACAGGGAGATCTCAACATCAACTGATCAGCAAGCCATCCTTCAGCCAGGTGACAGATGGTTGCAGTCCCCTAAGCAAAGGCGGCCCAGGGCCCGCTGATGCCCTGCCAGCAATGGCCACCATCCATATACGGAGATACCAAACTATTTGAGAGGCAGTAACATGGATAATATGTATATATATATATATATCTAATATTATGCATATGATTAAAAATATATACATAATTATATAATATATATATATATGCCAGTGGAGTATAATACATCATATTACATCCTTATTACATCACGATAGACCTTTTTTAGCTCAGGCTTTGCACTTGTGCCGTGCCTTGTAGCGTATACGTTCAGGTGCACCGGACTCACGCCGCGTGAACGTTGGACTTAAAGCCGCGTGGGCGACTCTGGGGCTGTGGCGCCGCAACCAAAACAGGCAAAACAGCCTCTGCTTCGCTTGTGGCTGTGATGCTCCTGCGCTGAGGCTGGGCTATGGGACATTTCATGGGATTTAACCAACAATCCTGGTGCTATGGGGATAGAATGGGATGTTAATCGGCTTGTGGTCGGGCTGCAGGAGCTCGCAGATCTGAAAAAAAAAAGGCAATTCTCCTCCTGCATCTGCTGAACCTAGGAGTGCTGTGCAATCGAGCCAGGAACCACTCCCCCTACATGGCTTCCAAAAACATCAAAAGCCACAAATTGATGATTGTTGTTCAAAGTCCATCAGTTCATCCATATGGACAATAAAATATCAGTATAATAACCTGAATTGCAGCCAATTCGGCATAGTTACAGTACCCAAGCAAATGCTCATTTCAGTGAAGCCGCCGCGAGATCGTTATAATTGCCCGTAATTTTCTAATGCATGGGTGCAATACAAAGACTTTCGCATGGCAAATGATGTCCTATTTCATCTATTTCACTACTCTTTTTCGAAACTTCCGCCCCGGCACGGCCGGGCACAGCTGGCTTCACTTTTCCGAATCCATAGGTTCGGTGTCAAGTTGTCAGTCAAGCATCGATAGAATATGCTCTGGTGAAGTCTTTCCTTGGCCGAACTATCCCAAGGCATCCTAAGGCCGACCCCTCTCACAAGGTCTGCCGCATAATTTGTTGAGGACACATGTTACAGTACCATGGGCAAATCATGCCAAAACATGATTCCCTCTGTGTATCTGGCAACTACCTCACACTAAATGTTTTGTGAAGGTCATGAGCAGCCCAAAAGAGCCGTGTTAGTTCTACCTGATTGCGTTGGATTGTGCACACGGATGCACATGTGTATGAATGCATGTAACGTAGCGCGATGAAATTTACTCCTCTGAAGTTTAACACTGAGGGGTATATAAGTATCCGCAATTGACGTTTCATAAAACATAACTGCTACAACCGCCCCAATGGACGTTTCAACCATTTGCAACGCAACACTCCGCGCCACAAAGCGAGAGTCCCAGCGAAGGTCTTAGCCTCCATGGTAACTCTATCTTCCAGCTTTCCAATCCTTGGAATTTGCTCAGCTGATCCGAAAATATTATGACATATTCCCAGTTCAGTAGATGTTCAATTTCTGTTGGATTCATGGGAAAATATAAAACCATTGGAACATCCAAGAATCTCTTCACTAATGAGGCCAGTACCTCGGCTCGAGCTAAGTGGAAGTGGTGTCAATCTGGGCCCAGCACACATCAATCATTGTCCCAAAAAGGGGGGGCAAAAATCCAGCGGTTGAAAACGAAAACAAGTGCCATAAATTGGGGTAATTATTCTGGAGATTTCTGGAGAACATCTCAATACATCATTGGATTCAATATCTGAGCTGCAACATCACTTCATTCAAAATTGAACCATTATTCGCTTCAACAATTAAACTCCAATATCATCCAATTCGAGCATGATCGATCGGTTCCAACTTTCCACAGTTCATCGTCAGTTATGTACAATTTATCCGTGAGTTAAAGCAAAAAACAAAACGATGCTACATACCGGTATCGGAATACATGGATCTCGATTCCAACATTTACAATCTCCAGTGAATTTATGAGTTATAAATTAACCTGCCACCAAGTTGCAAACAAGTGGAAAATCCCCAGTAGAATAGTGACAAACTGCAATTTAGATATATAAATTATCTATGACCGCCTATGACCCTATGTATGACCATAGTATCCGCCAAAATTGTACCTTTACTAAACCCTCCAGTGTCATCAAGCATGGCTTGTTAGGAGACTTTCCGGCCATGTTTGATTACAAGTACCAAAGGGTATCCCAAATATTTTTTGTCAGTTCCCTTTCCCCCACATATCCCAACTATATCTCCGAAATTCATCAAAATTCTCTATGGAATGCTTGAATCATGTGATATCATGTTGAATTATGTTGAATCCCTATGTCACTACCGGGTAATCGTCACTGTGACCAACGTCCAGTTGCTGGCTGCCAATTGCGTTCGTGCCTGGCGTCGGGAGGCAGCGTGGTTTCGCATCAACTCGCCTAGGCTACGTGCGGCCCAAGTGCCGCCCTGGGACCCGAGGGATCTCAAGGGTTTTTTTCTGACCAAAGTGCTTATTGTATGCGGGGGTGAAAAATCATAGAAACTAAGCAATTGATGGGATTTTGGGGGATATCATGGAGGCATAATGGGAGATATAATAACAGCAACACGATAATTCCCCACCTGCCAGGTGAGGGTTGTTAGATTTTATCACAGTTGTTCTCCTCCTCCTCCTCGGCTAGCTATCCTCCTCCTGCTCCTCCTGCTCCTCCTGCTCCTCCTGCTCCTCCTCCGCCAGCATCTCCTCCACCACCTCTGCCTCCACTTCCACGTCCACTGTTGCCGTGCCAACTCTTCGCCAAGCTCTTCGCCAACGTCCGAGCTCAGTGTGCACCGCTGGACCTCAACCTGGGTCCTTCCCAGCTAAGTGGGCACCGCTGGACCTCAACCTGGGACCTTCCCAGCTCAGTGGGCACCGCTGGACCTCAACCTGGGACGTGCCCAGCTCAGTGTGCACCGCTGTACCTCAACCTGGGACCTTCCCAGCTCAGTGTGCAATGCTGGACCTCAACCTGGGACCTGCCCAGCTCAGTGTGCACCGCTGGACCTCAACGGCCAGATAGAATGCCAGAAGATATGCCAGATAGAATGTCAAATAGAATGCCAGAAGATATGCCAGACAAAATGCCATGAGATATGCCAGATAGAATGCCAGAAGATATGCCAGATAGAATGTTAGAAGATATGCCAGATAGAATGCCAGAAGGTATGCCAGATAGAATGCCAGATAAAATGTCAGATAGGATGCCAGAAGATATGCCAGATAGAGTGCCAGGAGATATGCCAGATAGAATGTTAGAAGATATGCCAGATAGAATGCCAAAAGGTATGCCAGATAGAATGCCAAATAAAATGTCATATAGAATGCCAGAAGATATGCCAGATAAAGTGCCAGAATGTTTGCCAGATAGAATGCCAGAAGATTTGAGTAGATAATATGCCAGAAGATATGCCAGATAGAATGGGAGAAGATATGCCAGATAGAATGCCAAATAGAATGCCAGAAGATATGTCAGATAGAATGCCAGAAGATTTGCCAGTAACCGAATGTATAAATGTCATGGTGGGGATCACACGAAATAAAGTAATTTTTGAATTGCTTGAAAATGGTTAATTATGCCGGTGGGCCAATTAGGGCCATTTCATAGCGAATGATGCTTAACCAATGAATTTAGGGGTACCCAATTTCGAAGGTCCCAAAGGAAGTAATTGTAAAAACTGGAACCAAATTGGGTCCCTGCACTGGGCCAAGCCACAAAACTCGTCAAAGGTAATGCTTCCGTCTCCATTTTGGTCAAAATGGCCCAGCGCCTGGTGGCTTGAAGCCCAAAAGAATATTGAATATTGAATCGATCTCAATTAGGATCATCCCACATTTCCTGGAGATGGAACATACAAAATATTGAAATCGTCAAATTCTACAGGACCTGTTTTGGTTCAATTTGGAATCGGATCACCTGCATTCACGGGTACATGCTGGCTGTTTCCGTGAAGAAACACACACGTCTGGAACACATGCATTTCTTTGCTGAAGACTTTCTATACTGGTTTTGCCGCTTCCCCCAACACCAATGAGGCTGTTTGCATGGTGAAGGGCACCTTCTTGGCTGTCTCATCCAACACATCTTTGGACCACACTTTCTTCACATCGGCATTGGAGAGAACGCGCGTGATTTCCTCAGCTCATCAGTTGGGGTCACCAGAAAGGACCCCAAAATAATGACCTGTCAGGGTTCAGAATTCGGAGCATCTCAGATGAAACAAACAAGCACGCAAGACAAAGATGAGGTTCCGTAGGCTCAGGGCAGCAATACACTGCGATCATCCGATGCTACTGCCAGTCTGACTAACTCTTCCCCAAAAGTGAGCTCCAAAATGATCCAAATGTCAAAGCAAAGTTAAACACCAGCTGTCAAGAGTTGGACTATGATTATT